GTACTCGCTATAGAGCACCCTACTACACGCTAGACAATAATAACATTCTGACACACCCCCATAGCCAAAGTGGGGTGTAATCAGTACAATGAGCAGGCATAGCAATAGTTCACAATTATAAGCAAAGCTAGAGGTGATCATAGAGGGCAAGTGAGGAGGAGGAGAAACTGTGAGGGCGAGAAGATGAAAGGCGCCGACTGAAGCTGCAGACACACGGGCAACAGGAGCGGCGCGCACAGTGGCTACCGAGCGCACGAGGGCACCGGACTACGGGAGTATCTGGCTCCGCGGCTACGACGAGCACACACAGGAGCAACGGACCCACAGGCGACTGGCGAAGCAGGCTCGCTGGGCTACCGAAACGCGCGAGGGCATCCGGACTACTGGCGCTGCTGGCGTCACGACGGCTACCTCCACGCAACCTCCCCCGACCGTCCCACGCCCCTCTCACACACCCCCTGCTGACACCCTAGCTCCACTTCCACGGCACCCCCCTTAAACCCTAAACCCTCGGCTCCCACACACCCACCCCCCTCAGCGGCAGCTGCAGCAGTGGGAGACGGAGGAGGAGGAGGAGCCGCAGGTTACCCACACCGGTCACCCCCATGCCCGCCACCCCCAAACCCTAACGCAGGCAGGAGCGCGGGAAACAGCAGGGGCGGGGCACGGAGGGAAAGGGAGGCAGCGGGGTGGCTCTTGGGCGCCACGAAGAAGCAGGGCGCGGGCCCCCCGAGGGCGCCACGGCGGGTGACGGGAGGGGGGCCGCGCACGGGCCCCCGAGGGCGGCTCGACGGGCGACGGGAGGGGCCGCGCGCGGGCCCCCTAGGCGCCGCGACGAGGCGACGGGAGGGGGCGGCGCGCGGGCCCCCAAGGTGCCGCGACGAGGCGACGGGAGGGGGGGGACGCGCGGGCCCCCAGGGCGCCGCGACGAGGCGACGGGAGGAGGACGACGGGGGGCAGCGCGCAGGTCCCCGGGGGCGCCACGACGGGCAGGAAACCGCCGCGCGCCTCGGGGCGCACGGCGGGCAGAAAACCGCCGTACGCCCTGAGCGCACGGCGGGATGAAAAACCCTAAAATTTTTCGCACGGCAGGAAGAAGACGGCGCGCGCCCGAGGCGTGCGAGAAGCAGAATAGCAGCGGAAGCAGTTAGGTGGCGGGCCCACCCACAGGATCGACCCAAGGGGGTCGACCTGCTCTGATAGCATGTCAACAAGACTAGGCAAGAATGATTGAAAGGAGAGGGGTTTCACTAGCAGCAGTTGGGGTACATATAGCAAACCCTAACTGGGTTGTACTCGCTATAGAGCACCCCACTACAGGCTAGACAATAATAACATTCTGACACTTTTACTTAGTCTCTACATGCAGGTGCATATATTTTGTGAAGATTATATTGGCTAAACTATGCTGCATCGCCACCATTTCCGCGTCGCCTTCACTTTCCGCCCCTTATAACAACGTGACATGGAAACAAGCACGTGAAGATTATTTTTACTATGCCATGACTGATCTTATTTTGGGGCACAGAGCAATGAAGGTGATGTTCCAAATTATAAGGTGATAATTGCTAAATGATTGTTCTGGATTTTATAATCTGTAGCTGGCGCTATCTTTTTTTGTAACGCCATTGACCCTTTAATGTGTGTTGGTTTTGTGTTATCTGGATATTCTCGCTGTGCAGTGATTTATATATTCTGGGGCAACTGTACAAGGCCCTGTTTATTACGTAGTCATGCTTATGTTGTTATTTGATGTTCTGTTGTTATATAACGAAATATATATTATACAAATAAACAAAAAATGCTTATTACAAAAAAGGAACACACTGTAAAGGGGATAAAATCAGGCCATGTGCTGGCCACGTGTGACCCGAAACTGACCCAAATCTGACTTTTCCCGCCAAATCTTAACCCGTACCTGACCCGTACCTGACTTTTCCCGCCAAATCTTAACCCGTACCTGACTTTTCCCGCCAAATCTTAACCCGTACCTGACCCGTACCTGACCCGTATTTGACCCGAAAGTCACTTTTGGGTTAGCTATCTGACCTCAGACTAACCTAAAGTGTCAGTTCCAAAACTAACTTCTGGGACAGATTCCCAGATGACCCGAATCTTGCCTGGAAGTCACCTGGGGGTCCCTTTTGGGTCAGTACAATTTAGAGATGAACTCACTATAGGCAGTCGGGATCGGCTCGGCCCACCCCACGAGCGCAACCGGTGGTGGCTAGAGGGGCCCGCGGCTCGACTACGACTTACCGGGCCGGAAGTCCGCGGTTTTACCGCTCGTGATCGGATGAGGAGGTGGACTGCGGCGATCTACGCCTCCTACTGCGTCGCTCATCCGAGAACTCGCGAAGTACCTCCCGGGTAAGTGCTTCAAATTTCTGCCACTTCTCATCTTCACGCTTGTCGTTGTGCTCACGCAGCTCGCGGACAAGATCGGCCGTGCTTGTAGTTTTCAAGCGCCCTCCAGATTTTCGGCCCACCCCCTTCTTACTCTCTTTTTTCGCCTTTGCCTTTGTCCTCATCCGGTTGTACTTCGCCTTCAGCGCGGCAATGTCGTGGCGCCAGTCGGGGTTGTGCTCTAGGAGCTCTTGCTGGATCAAGGGGTACCAGCTGCGGCCGTGCGGCGACGGATCTCTGCCTGCTTAGTGATGAACGCGGCGAGAACCTCGCATTCTTCCTCGGGGGTCCAGTGTGGGTGCGTCCTCCCGGTAGAGCTGCGTGAAGTTGTTGCGGTGGCGGAGGTCGGGGCAGCCTCCTGCTCCGTGGCTCCTCCTCTACCTCTCCCATCGTAGCGGCGTTGTCCATGTCGGCGCCTAAGCCGTAATCGTCGCCCGCGTGATACGAGGCGGAGGGCGATGGGATCTGATAGACCCACCAGTCAGCTGCAGTGGGTGTGGCGGAAGGAGTGGTCTGGTTGTTCCCGCCTTGTGCTTGGATCTGAGACTCCTGCGTTTCTGGAATAGCAGCGGTAGGAAGGGGTTCAGTTGGCGCGCTAGGTGGTGGGGAGTTGGGTGGGGTCGTCTCCGGTTGGGCGTTGTCAGATGCGCTAGGAGGGTCCATGTTGCCAATGTGATGGTTTGGTTCGTAGGGGATAGTACTTGTAGTTGGGAATTGGCTGGGGGATGCACGGACGGTCCAATGTCCGTAGCCGTGTCGCTTGGCGGGGAAAATTGTAGTTGTGCGACTCGGTATTTTCATGTTTTGTTTTTCGCCCGCCAATCTTGTGTCAGTACTGTTGCAGCGACCGTTTGCTTTTCGAGCTGTGGACGGTTCGGACAGTGAGCCGTTTCGGAAAGAGAAATGGTGTCACAACCGTTCGTAACGTTGGCGACGTCGCAGAGGCGTTTGGCGAAACCTTAACGAACATCACGAAACGGGAAACCTTTTCGCAATGCGGACGGTCCACGGTTCGAACCGTAGGGAGCGAAATGGAGACACGCCCTAAAAGCAGTCGTCCGTCATCTTCAGCGGTTCAATTGAAGCTCCTCGGGATTTAGTCGGTTTCGAGACAAACTATAGTGATGTCAACACGTCGAGAACCAAAACGTAAAAAATCTATCAAAAAGTAAACAAAAATGCGATACTGCTAAAATCGCGATACTGTATATCAGAGTTGCCACGACGGATTTGCGAAATAAGCGACACCCAAGGTGGTTGACACAAACCAGGGTGACACTCGCGAGGGGTGTCACCTAGAGAGTACTTGCGACGACAGGTTACCGGGATGCCTGCTTGTCGCAAGCCTGTTGAGCCGACTCGCGAAGAGGTTTCCAGTTCGAGCAGTTTCGCCCCTTGTGATTGTGATTGTCGCCACATCACTGTCGAACCCACAGGCTCGACGCTTTGCCGCGTAGCACCCCATTACAAGCGCGTCGCGCTTCCCAAACCTTATGCCAGGCCCGCAACAACGGATCGCCCCTATCACATTCAAAGCCTGAGAGCGTGAGATGCGAGAGATTCTAGTTACGTGTATCTGTAGATGCGCGGTGCTGGCCCCTTCCATCAAAACATTTCTGGTTGGTTTGGGAATGCAAACGCTTGACGAAAAGTCTGCAGATTCAGCTAGTGATGCGAACCCGTTTTATCTCGCTCGCAGCCTTTGTTGTTACACCCGACTGCAAATTCGCGTTTCGTCAGCCAATCAAAGCCCAACTCGAGTCCCAGCCAAACGGCGCTTGAACTCACGCGAAAGGTGCTTGCGCGAGCCCCACTTCAAGCAACACAAGACACGATGGTGCTGAAGCTGAGGACGCGTCACAAGTAGTTTTCGAGGAAGGATCGGGATTGTTCACCGAACCTGCCTAGCCGATCGCCATATCGGTGTGCCACGACTACTTTCAAGTTTCAAGTGACACGATCGTAGAAACATGGGGCAAAATTGCCCGATGTGGACGAAATTGCACGATCGATGTGTGACAAGGGCACATCGATCGCCTGACTCCCAAGGGACAACTGTACGCTAGCGAGAACTAACGAAAACATGTAACCACCTAAACTTTGATTCTAAGCAGGATCGATGTTAACTTGTGACGCGTCCTGATTCACTGTCAAGGCAAAATCTGCTCTCTTTCTTGCACCCACGACTAAAACACTTCGCGGATTGCCGCCGTAAGTGCCTGCCATGGCATCGCTGGCAGAAGAAACTATCTCGACTCAGTTCAAATGTTCTCTGCTAGGTCATTTTCACAAAAGATAATGCAATCTCCACACACGAAGTGCTACTACCCTGAGACCTGCCGTTCGGTTCCGTAACCCTCTTCGCAATGATGAACGGTGCTACTCATAGTGTAACCGTGCCGAAGGGGGGCGAAGCGAGCCCTTCGACGTATCACCCAGTGATGGCCTCCTTAACTTCCCTTCCGCAGCTCAAACCTCGAGATAAGCTGTTCTTAGCGGCGCGCTTTTTCGTCGTGGCGCTCGGTCTGCTCCTCGTAACTTACAACATTTTCAATTCCTCTGCCACGCGGCACTCGCCTATTGAGTGGTTCGATATGAATGCATTTAATGCTAAGTTAGCGGCTTCCGATGCTAATCTTTCCGGGAGGGTTTACCAGGAAGGATTTGCGGCTGTATCCTTACCTGCCGAGTCCCCAGCGGCTGTATCCTTACCGGCTGAATCCCCACCGGCTGCTGAGTCCCCACCGGCTATATCCTTACCTGCTGAATCCCCACTGGCTGTATCCTTACCGGCTGAATCCCCACCAGCTTCTGAGTCCCCACCGGTTGTATCCTTACCTCCTGAATCCCCAGCGCCTGTATCCTTACCTGCTGAATCCCCACCAGCTGTATCCCAACCGGCTGTATACTTACCAGCTAAATCCCCACCGTCTAAGCCCCCACCTGATGGGGATGGCCCTCCCGTCGCTTTCGATCGCGCTTTTGCCGCATTGATCTCGTTCCAGCGAGAAGGTCGCGTTCCGCTCGCCAACGTCGCAACGTTCAATTTCGACCCCTCCGTTTCTAGCGCCTTCGTCGCCACGCGCTACAAGCTTCTCTCGCTGCCCGTTCCGCTTGTTCCCGAGAAGCTGACGTGGCCCGACGCGTACCCTGTATGGGTGAACGAATCGCGCTCATCCTGTCCGGAAATTCCGGAACCGAACTATCCTGATTGGCTGACCAGCATCCACGCAATTGTCGCACACGTGCTCTGCGACGAGCCTAGCGATTCCTGGGCGAAGGATGTTCGCTGGATACACCACCTTCTCACTATAACAAGCTTCGTCATTAGGGTACTGCATTCTATTATTCTATTCCCCCTCATCGATCTTGTACCGTGACAAATCGCCCGTTGTTACGAGGAATCGCTACTCTCGTCGTGTCGTGTCATCCTGGCATTCCCCCCTTATTTCAGCCAGCCCTTCTCTCGGTTCCCCTGTTCCCAGTTCGCCACCTGTGGTTACCAGTGGAGTTACTTTCCGCCTTATTTCGCCCAATCCCCTTGCATCATTTCTCATGTAACAGGCGAATCGCACGTGGTTACCAGTTGTGTTGCTCTCTGCATGCCGCCCGCCGCCCAACCTCTTCCACTGCTCGCGACTCGTGGCGCGGGATGGTGACACGTGGCTGTACAACCTGACGGCCAGTGAAATGCGGACACGTATACAGCCCTTAGGGTCGTGCGCCATGGCTCAGCCAATCAGCAGCGATGTCTCAGGTAGTGCGAAACGAGGGGTAAATCACTCTTTACTCTGAAGTGTCGTCAATCCGAAAAATGAAGACTACACACTCTACGCACTTTACTTTCATCCGCGTAAACTCCTTTTACAGGATTGAACTTATATCCGTCTACGCTCTTCTAACTCCCCTCCTTCCATATCCTTCCCTTTCTCCCCTTCTCTCAGCTAACCAGCGCGTCGCGTATGCTACAGTGCTACACTCGTCCGATCGCTATGTGTGCGGCGCAATAGTACTGGGGCACAGCATAAAGAGGACGGGGAGCGGGCACGAGATGGTTGTGCTTGTATCGAAAGAAATTCCAGAAAAGAGCAGGCGAGGGCTGAGGGAGGCGGGGTGGACGGTGAAGGAGATTGAGAGAATTCGGAACCCCAACGCAGTGAAGGGGGCTTATAACGAGTGGAACTACAGGTTTGTGTTGTGAAAATGCAAGAATGTTGCATACGGTGTGCAAGTATTAAGTAGGGAAACGATGTGTGTGTGTGTCTGTTTTGGTTGGAATCATTTCTAAGTGTCCATCTTCATGTCATATCAACTTGAGGTTGTGCCGAACGAAACAATTTGCACATACATTTTCTTGCTGCTGATTTCTGTTGGCTGATGTTTGCTGCTGTTCATTCGTCTGCTGTTGGCTTCTGTTGACTTTTCTTTGACTTTTTTTGCTTCCTCTTCACCCCTCCCTCCCAGCAAGCTGCGGCTGTGGCAGCAGACGGAGTACACCAAGCTGCTCTTTATTGACTCGGACCTGCTCCTGTTGACCAGCGTTGACTTTCTCTTCTCCTACCCCGAGATCTCCGCCCGCGGAAATGACGGCTCAGATTTCAACTCAGGCGTGATGGTCCTGGAGCCGTCGAGATGCACGTTTGAGCTGCTGATGGCAAATCTGGAGCGCGTGAAATCGGCGAATGGGGGGGACCAGGTGAGACCAGGGGACCGTGGTGTGATGGGATGATGTGATGTGATGTGATGGGATGGGATGGGATGTGATGGGATGGGATGTGATGCGTTTCCTGATCGATTGCTCCAGTGAAGGAAAATTCGCTCTTGGCTTTAAAACTGAAGATTGGCGAATGGAATGGACCAGATGGGACCATAATGTTATGTCATGTGATGTGATGTGATGTCATGTGATGTTATACTATGTCATGTGATGTGATGTGATGTCATGTGATGTGATGTGATGTGATGTGATGTGATGTGTTGTTATGTCATGTGATGCGCTGTTATGTCATATGATGCGCTGTTATGTCATATGATGCGCCTCCCTATCACCCTGTTGCAGCGAAAGCCACCCTTGTACTTAGAGCTGTGCGAAGGTAAAAAGGCTTGTTTTTTTTTTTGTGAATCTGGAGAGAGTGCGATCCGTCAACGGAGGGGACCAGGTGAGACCACTCTAAATAAATAGGTGTGAGTTTGTGGGTGAGGTCACTCTTGCAAGCAGAACTGTGAGATTCTAAGACGGCTGTCAGTTCCCTTTGCCCTTGGTTCCAATGGTGTTATTCTCCACCAATTTCCCTCATACCCCCCTCTGCCCAGGGCTTTTTGAACAATGTCTTCACCTGGTGGCACCGCTTACCAGAGTCTATAAACACCCTCAAACCTGTCTGGACCTCTGACTCTGTGAAGAAACAAGCTATCATTGATATGAAGAGCAGGTGGTTTTCAGAAGACCCTTCGGAAATCCACGCAATACACTACCTTGGTATGAAGCCATGGTGGTGTTACCGTGAATTTGATTGCAACGTGCTGATACCTGAATTTGTCGACTTCGCTAACGAGGCGGCTCATAAGAGGTGGTGGAGTGTACACGACTCAATGCCAAATCCCCTCAAGAAATTTTGCTGGATAACAAGTGAAGCAGAGGAGAAGCTGAAGAAGCTGATAGAACAATCGAAGCCAAAAACATTGCCTTAATAACTGAATTTCTTAGGGCTAAATGATGGTTAGGCAATATAGGTACTGTACATGTAAATGTCCTCCCTTGCGTGTACACATTCCCATCTGTACAAAAGCATGCAGCGTTTGCATGCAAGGTGGTACAAGGAAGGTTTCACGAGGTTGCGCTCTTATCACATCTTTTAATTATACTGTAGGTGCGTTCTGATAGGTGGTGTATCAAGAGAAGATAGGCTAAAGACATTTACCGGTAGCAGTGACAAGATTATTAGCCGGTTATAATACATGATGTGAACAAGAAGTGATTTGTGGCTCAACAGTACCAGCGCAAAGCACAAGTACTTTCCTGCATCAGGCAGAACACCACCTGTACGATTACGAGTACCGTACTGCTACTGGCACTGCGGAACACTGTGCTGGGTGACGTTTGTTGATGAATCCCCCATCCTCTTCTCCCCTTTCATCTGGAATTCACCTCACGCCGCTCCGCACTACCACTGAATGTCACCGTCAGTCTGAGCCCTCTCTCCCTCCCTCTCAACCCATCCCCACCACTTGTAGGAAGGTGTACCATCCACCCATCCCAACTGACCCGTACCCATCCCTACCCAACCCCCTATTCTCTTCATCTAGGATTCACGTCTCCTTTATGCACGCTCCCACTGAACGTCACCGGACTCAATCCATCCCCACCGCTGCTCGACGTCCCACCCTTCCCTCCACTCTTCTTCATTAGATCCTCATACCATGAAACCTCCTCCTCCTCGTCCTCCTCTCCCCACTCCTCATAACTTGCACCCCCAGACGTTGCCACTGCAGCAATCTCTTTCCAGAACTTATCACTGGTTTGTGACTTGGTCGCACACGCAGGCTCGCCTTCCCAATCGTACCCTTCGCCATTGTCACGCCTGCTACTATCACCACCACCAGCACCAGCACCAGCAGCAGCAGCAGCAGCAGCAGCACCACCACCACCAGCAGCAGCAGCAGCAGCACTAGCACTACCGCCAGCAGCACGGAAAGCAGAAACCCGGTTCAACCGCCTCTTAATCCCTTCCAACTCCTTCAAAACCTGTTGCATGTCGGGTCGGTTCTGCGCCTGCTTGAGGCTGCACCGCATTGCAAGCCTCAGGAACCACTCAAACGTCTCCTCCAACGTCTCACTCCCACACGTCTCCTCCAATGCCTTACTTTCATTCCTCCCCACCTCTCCACCTCCCGCACCTCCTCCCCCTTCCCCTCGGCCTTCTCTTCCGCCCTCTGCTCCCCCTGCTCCTCCCCCTGCTCCTCCCCCTGCTCCTCCTTCTGTTCCTCCCGCTCCTCCCCCTTCCTCCCCGCTTCCCCCCTCCCCTCTCTGCTGTCTCTCCCACATGGCTTTCAACACCGGGTCCAAGACACTGTGCACGCCCCCCTGGTTGGTAACGCTATCGATCACGATGCGTCTGATATGCTCCCCATTGGTAACGGGGCGAAGACCGGTGGCCAGCTCTAGCAGCACGATGCCGAAGCTGTACACGTCGCTCTTTTCCGTTAGTAGGTCACTTTGGAAATATTGTGGGTCCAGATAGCCCTGGTGGAGAGGAGAGAAAATGATGACAACAAGAGGGAGCAGAGGAGCATGAGGGGCGAAGACGGGTGGCCAGCTCCAGCAGCACGATGCCAAAGCTGTAGACGTCGCTCTTCTCAGTCAGCAAGTCAGACTGGAAAGTACTGTGGGTCCAAATAGCCCGGGGGAGGGTAAACATGAGGAAGAGCGAAAGGGGGCCAGAAGAGGGGGGAGAGGAGCATGAGAGGAGGAGGCCACTGGCCAGCTCTAGTCGCTCTTTTCTATGAGTAGATCACTCTGAAAGTACTGAGGGTCCACGTAGCCTTGGGGGAAAGAAAAAGGGGGAAGGGCACGAGGGGGAACAAGAAGCGGGGGAGGTGAGGTGAGGATGAGATGAGGTGAGGATGAGATGAGGTGAGGTGAGGATGAGATGAGGTGAGGATGAGATGAGGTGAGGATGAGATGAGGTGAGGATGAGATGAGGTGAGGTGAGGATGAGATGAGGTGAGGATGAGATGAGGTGAGGATGAGATGAGGTGAGGATGAGATGAGGAAAAGGTCAGCGGCCAGCTCTAGCAGCACGACAGTGCCAAAGCTGTACACGTCGCTATTTTCTGTGAGTAAATCATACGGGAAGCACTGTGGATCCAAGGGCAGCAAAAAAGGGGTGTGTAGGGGGAAAGGGAGGAAAAAGGGGAGGGAGGAGAAAGAGGGCAGCTGTACCATTTTCCACAGTACGATGGGTAGATTGTAACCTTATCAGTCAATCTCCCTTCTAATGTGCTCTCCATTTGTCACCAAGCGGAGGCCGGTGGCAGGTCTACAGGCATGATACCAACTGCCTCCTTTGGAACGGATTGGAAACAAAAACACCCCATCACGCCCACCATTGAAAACATCCCACCACGTCCAGCAATACCACCCTGCGAGTGAGAAGTCCGTGATAAATCTATCTTCCACTCACCACAGTGCCCTTCACTTGCGTCTCCAGCCTCCCCCCTCCCTCCGCCTCCTCAGGAACAGCCTTGGAGATTCCAAAGTCTGACACCTTCGCCTCAAGGTCCGCTGTGATGAGGATGTTGGCCGTCTGGTGGGGGGGAAGGGGGTCGGAAGGAGGGGCCAAGAGAGGAGAAAAGGCCATAGGGCAGGGGTGGATGATGGATGGTTGGGGGTTTGATCTGATTGTGTATGTAGGCTAACCCACTGGCCGCGTTACAGGCAGTGCAAGCGTGCATACCCACACATGCACACGTATGCATGTATGTATGTATGTGTGTGTGTGTGTGTGTGTGTGTGTGTATGTATGTATGTATGTATGTATGTATGTATGTATGTATGTATGTATGTATGTATGTATGTATGTATGTATGTATGTATGTATGTATGTATGTATGTATGTATGTATGTATGTATGTATGTATGTATGTATGTATGTATGTATGTGTCCATGTATGTATCCGTGTACGTATCCATGTGCAAGTGCATGTATGTATCCACATATGTTTGCATGTATGCATGCATGCATGTATGCAATGCATGTAGACATGCATGTGTGTTTGCGTGTATATATGCATGTATGTTGGCATGTATGTCCTCACACCACACGCATACCTTCACATCCCGGTTGATAATAGGGGGCTTGATCTGATGGTGCAGGTATGCAAACCCACTGGCCGCCCCACATGCGATGCCAACCCAAGTGCATGTATGTTCGCACCGAACATACCTTCACATCCCGGTGGATAATAGGCGGCTTGATCTGATGGTGCAGGTACGCAAACCCACTGGCCGCCCCACATGCGATGTTGACGCGCTGCCGCCACGTCAACTGGTGCTTTGAGTCGGCTGTTGGTTTCAACAGAGGGGGAGCGGGGAGACGGGGAGAAACAAGGGGGGCTTGAGGGAAAGAGAGGATTCTAAGACGTCTCAGAAACCCACGATTGGGGGTTCAAATCCCTCTCTGTTGGAAAAATAAGACGAGTCAAGTCAATACTTCTGGGGTTTACACCAGTTTTATTCACCTCTTGGCATATCTTCCAGTGTGCCCCTCTCAATGAATTCATACACCAGCAGCTGCTTCCCCGCCTCCACACAATGCCCTCATCATTCTACCCTAATCCTGCACTCCACACGACAGGCCAACCGCCCCACTTCTTGAGGCGCCTAAAAAATAATCTCCACACAATGTCCTCATCATTCTACCCTACTCCTGCACTCTACACGACAGGCCAACCGCCCCACTTCTCCTCACCTCTCAGCATGTCCTCGAGTGTCCCCCGCTCAATAAACTCATACACCAGCAGCTGCTCGCCTGCCTCCACACAGAAGCCCTTGAGAGCACTGGCCATTAGGTGGGGCACCATTAGGGTAAGCCACCATTAGGGGGAGATAGTGCCTTACCCTAATGGTCTCCCCCCCTTCTTCCTACTCCTCCATTCTGCGTTCCTCCTTCAAACTCACGTCTCAGCATGTCTTCCAGTGTCCCTCTTACAATGAATTCATACACCAGCAGCTGCTCCCCTGCCTCCACACAGAAGCGATTGAGTGCACTCATCACTTCCCATCTACTGCTCCTGCACCCCCCCTGCATCACAAAAGTGCAACGCACCTCTCAGCATATCCTCCAGTGTCCCCCTCTCAATGAATTCATACACCAGCAGCTGCTCCCCTGCCTCCACACAGAAGCGATTGAGTGCACTCATCACTTCCCATCTACTGCTCCTGCACCCCCCCTGCATCACAAAAGTGCAACGCACCTCTCAGCATATCCTCCAGTGTCCCCCTCTCAATGAATTCATACACCAGCAGCTGCTCGCCCGCTTCCACACAGAAGCCCTTAAAAGCACTGGTAGCCATTAGGTGGGGCACCAATAGGTAAGGCACCATCTCCCCCCTTTTTTCCTACTCCTCCACTCCGCATTCCTCCTTCATACTCACGTCTCAGCATGTCTTCCAGTGTGCCCCTCTCGATGAATTCATACACCAACAGCTGCTCCCCTGCTTCCACACAGAAGCCTTTCAGTGCCACGAGGTTGCGGTGGCGCACTGCTGACAGCAGCTGTATTTCATTCCGGAACTCAGTGCCACATAACTGTGGTGATAGGGCGTGTAAAGAGGGGGATCGAGGAGGGGGTAAGGTAACTGAGTTGGCGAGACACAGAAGCCTTTAAGTGCCAAGAGGTTGCGGTGGCGCACTGCTGACAGCAGCTCTATTTCGCTGCGAAATTCCGTGCTGCATAACTAGAGTATGGGGGAGTGGGGGAGTGTGGGAGTGTGGGCGGGGGAGAGAAGAGATTTGGAGAGGCAGAGAAGCCCTTGAGAGTCACCAGGTTGCGGTGACGGACCGCTGAGAGAGCAGCTGGATCTCGTTGCGGGACTCCGTGCCGCAGAGCTGGTGGAGAGTATACGAGAGGGGAAAAGAGGGATGGGAGAGATGGGGAGTTGGAGAGACAGGCAAGCCTTGAGAGAGCCATGAGGTTGCGGTGGCGCACTGCAGACAGCAGCTGAATTTCGTTGCGGAACTCCGTGCCGCGTAACTGGGGACGGGAATGCGAGAGAGGCATGGGAGAAACGGGGAGCGGGAGAGAGGCAGAGAAGCCCTTGAGAGCCGCGAGGTTGCGATGGCTCACGGCTGAGAGCAGCTGGATCTTGTTGCGGGACTCGGTCCCACACAGCTGGTGTGCGGGGAGGAGTGGGGGAGTGGGGTTGGCGGAGGGAATGGATTGAGAGAGGCAGAGAAGCCCGTGAGATGAGAGCCACGAGGTTGCGATGGCGCACCGCTGAGAGAGCAGCTGGATCTCGTTGCGGAACTCCGTGCCACAGGTCTATGCAGCCGCCGCAAATGATCTACGTACACAAGCACTCAGGCAGATGAGTTGCTGTGCTGATGTGTCAGCGACCTGCACAATCAACGTCGCTGCTTTACTTACATCACTGGCTCACATGGAGATCCGCCTGAAGATCTCCACCTGAAGGACCACCTGAGGGTGTTCCTGGCTTACCTTCACATGGCCCTTGGCTCGTTTCACCGCCACCACATCTCCATTCTCCAGCACTCCTCGGTACACCTGAGGGTGAGGTTGGTTCAGACATGGAGACATAGGACAAAGGAGAGGCATGCATGGTAAATGCCTCAAGTTCCGGCATCCAAGCGTTGTGACACATGGAGCCACATCTCCGTTTTCGAGCACTCCTCGGTACACCTGAAAGTGAGTCAGACATGGAGACATGGGATAAAGGAGAGGCATGCATGGTAAATGCCTCACGTTCCGGCATCCAAGCGTTGTGACACATGGAGCCACATCTCCGTTTTCGAGCACTCCTCGGTACACCTGAAAGTGAGTCAGACATGGAGACATGGGATAAAGGAGAGGCATGCATGGTAAATGCCTCACGTTCCGGCATCCAAGCGTTGTGACACATGGAGCCACATCTCCGTTTTCGAGCACTCCTCGGTACACCTGAAAGTGAGTCAGACATGGAGACATGGGATAAAGGAGAGGCATGCATGGTAAATGCCTCACGTTCCGGCATCCAAGCGTTGTGACACATGGAGCCACATCTCCGTTTTCGAGCACTCCTCTGTACCCCTGATGATGGTTCAAATGCGAGGGGCAGAGCTGCTGCCCCATACTCCCCCCCATCACAGATATACCTGCCCCATACTCCCCCACATCACAGATATACCTGCCCCATACTCCCCCCCATCACAGATATACCTGCCTCATACTCCCCCCCATCACAGATATACCTGCCCCATACTCCCCCCCATCACAGATATACCTGCCCCATACTTCCCCCCATCACAGATATACCTGCCCCATACTTTCCCCCATCACAGATATACGTGCCCCATACTCCCCCCCAGCACAGATATACCTGCCCCGTACTCCGCCCCCTCACAGATATACCTGGTCCATATACCTGTCTGTATCCACATCATGCGCCGCCTCCCTTCACACATATACCTACCCGGCCCATATACCCCCCTCCCCCCCTCCCCCCCACCCCCTCCTCACAGATATACCTGTCCGTATCCGCCCTCCCCCAGCAGTGTCTTGAACCCCTGGGTGGCGTCGGCTATCTCTTTAAGTTTGCACCGGTGCACTCCCAGCGCCTGCAGCCCCTCTATCGCCTTGTAGTCCTCTGAGCTCCACAGGTCTGATCATGGGGAGGGGTGGGGAGGAAGAGGAAGGGGCAATGAGAGGTGGAAAGAGGTGGGGTGGGGTGGGGAGAGCAGTCGGTGCTATCTCCTTGAGCTTGCACCGGTGCACGCCCAGCGCCTGCAACCCCTCTATCGCCTCGTAGTCCTCCGAGCTCCACAGGTCTGGGGAGGGATGGGGAGGGGTGGCGATGGGTGGAGATGGGTGGCGGCGATGGGTGGGGACCAAACACTGCCTCAAAAGACACACGCCCAGTGCTTGCAGGCCCTATATTTCCTTGTAGTCCTCTGAGCTCCACAGATCTGGGAAGGGGTGAGGATGGGTGGGGATGGGTGGAGATGGGTGGAGAGCGCATATTGCCTCAAGAGGACTCAGCTTGCACCGGTGCACGCCCAGCACCTGCAGCCCCTCTACTGCCTTGTAGTCTTTCAGAACTCCACAGGTCTGATGTTGGCGGGGTTGGAAGGGGTGAAGATGGTTGGGGCGGGGTGCGGAGCAAACATGGCCTGAGCCTGCACCAGTGCACGCCCAGCGCCTGCAAATCCCTCTATCGCCTTGTAGTCCTCCGAGCTCCACAGGTCTGGTGTTGGCGGGGTTGGGAGGGGCGAGGAGGGGTGGGGAGGGGCGAGGAGGGGTGGGTAGCACACACACCAAGCACCTGCAGTGCAGCCCCTCTATCGCCTTGTAGTCCTCGGAGCTCCACAGGCCTGTCAATGTTGATGCTGCAGGAGTGAACACAGCGGTGCGCCAGGGTGGGAAGGGATGGGGAGGCGCGCAGAGAAATCAACGAGGTTATAAACAGGCTCACCTTTGCTAGTCTGTTATTTGAGAATTCTTAAAAAACAGACTCAGCAGAGAAATCAAGAAGGGTATTAGCAGGCTCACCTTTGTTTCTGTTCCTTTGCAGCAGCAGCCACACGATCAGCAGAGCAATGAGAGCGAGCACCACTCCCCCCACCACGATGCCCACGATCGCAGCAGTGGTCATGCCCCCTCCGCCAGTAGACGCAGCAGGGGGGACGGGAGGGGGAGCTGGGAGTGCATTGGGGGGAGACAAGGGGAAGAAGAGGTTGGGGGAGGCGAGCATGCGAGCAGGCGAAATGGGTGAGAGAGAGAGAGTGCATATGGGAGGAGCATATTAAACGGGGCGTGAGTGAGGGGTAGGAGCAATGAGATGAGAGTGAGGCCACCACTCCCCCCACCATGATACCCACAATTGCAGCCATGGATATGCCCTCTGCTCCTACTCATAGGCCCCACACCCATACCTTGGTTCTCACATGGCTTATAAACATACCTTCCCGTGATTGCCTTGTGCTCTCACGTTGCCCACACCTTCCCCTTCACATGTCTCCAGGTCTCACCTGGCCCATACATGGCCTCCACAAATATAAGGCCCAAAGTCCGTCCCAAGTGCCACCTTGTCAAGTGGAGTGAGCAACACACTGCCCTCCTCCCCCAGGTCTCACCTGGCCCATACATGGCCTCGACAATGTAAGGCCCAAAGTCGGTTCCCGGCGCCACCTTGTGGAGTGGAGTGAGGAGCACAACATACTGCCCCATACACATATCTCCATCCCAACTTCTCACCCTCCCCCAGGTCTCACCTGTGCCATACTCCATCCCGTCCCCCCCGTTCTCACCCTCCCCCAGGTCTCACCTGTGCCATACTCCATCCCGTCCCCCCCGTTCTCACCCTCCCCCAGGTCTCACCTGGCCCATACATGGCCTCCACAATATAAGGCCCAAAGTCCGTTCCCAGCGACACCTTGTGCCACACGAACGCATCCCTTATCTCCTGCGCCTGCTGCCACTCAGAGTTGCTCGTGCTGCTGCTGCTGCTGCTAGCAGGGGTGACAGTGGCGGTGCTGCTGTGGCTGTTGCTGCTGCTGCTACTGCTGCTGCTGCTGCTGTTGCTGCTGCTGCTGCTGCTGCTGCAGGGGTGGCGGTGGCGGTGCTGCTGCTGCTGTTGTAACTGTTGCTGCTATAGCTGTTGCTGCTGCTAGCAGGGGTGGTGGCGGTGCTGCTGCTGCTGCTGCCGTAGCCACTGCTGCTGCCGTAGCTGCTGCTGATCTTGCTGCTGGGAGCAGCAGAGGAGGAGGAGGATGAGGAGGATGAGGAGGAGGGAGGGGGGAAGAAGCGGATGGAGGTGCTGATGGTGGAAGGAGAGAGGATAGACCCGGTGACTGATACTATGGCGATCTGTTGTAGGGGGATTGGGTGTTGAGAGTGGGGGAGAGGGGGAAGAGAAAGGAATGGGTGATGGTGGAAGGCGAAAGGATAGACCCGGTGACTGATACTATGACCAATCTGTTGTAGCTTCACCAAACGTACCTGTCCCCACAACGCACACCCACCACTTCCCCCCAGGCCCACCTGCGCTGTCGAAATGCCGATCCCATTTTTCCCCAAGCTCCCCGCGATCCTTTCTACAAGCAGCCTCGCGAGCTCAGCATTGAACACCGCGTACTGCGGTGCTGTCAGCTTCAATTCCACCTCCAGCGGCGAGACACACACACAGGCGTTGGTGAGAGCGAGAAGGGGCGGGCTGGGCGCGTAGAGAGAGGGGCAGGAGAGGTCGTCGCAGATGGGAGGGGGCTGATACTGCATGAAGCCGAGAGGGGGCGAGCAGGCTTGGGAGACTGCAGGGCGGTAGGGCACACAGAGGTCGTTGCCGTATAGCCTGGGGGGTGGGAGTGGAAGGGGTGAAGGCCAAAGGTAAGGCGGTACAAGGAGAGGTAAGAGAGGTCGTCGCATATTGGAGCGGGCTGGTATTGCATGATGCCGAGAGGAGGGGAGCAGGCGGCAGTGACTGCAGGGCGGTACGGCACACACAGGTCGTTGCCGTATAGCCTGGAGGGATGGGGATGGAAGGAGGAAAGGGAGGTTCACTGATGACCAAGTGAGTGAGCGATCCAGCAAGTAAGTGAGAGAGTGAGTGAGTGAGTGAGTGAGTGAGTGAATGAGTGAGTGACCAAGTGACCGAATGATTGAGTGACAGGGACCAAGTGACTGAGTGAGCGGGTGAGTGAGTGAGTGATTGAGTGAGTGAGTGAGCAAGACAGTGAGTGACCGAGTGAGAGTGAGTGAGTGCACGAGTGAGTGGGTGAGTGAGTGAGTGAGTGAGTGAGTGAGTGCGTCAGCAGTCCCAGAGGCTCACTCACTGCAGAGTGACGTTTCGTTGCTGAGCAGAGCAGCAGGCGCGCGGGTGAAGTGGTTAGTTAAGGGTGAGCAGCTGAGTGATCGTGTGAATAAAAGAGTGAACATCTGAGGGTTTGAGCCACAACTCACTGCAGAGTGACGTTTTCGTTGGTAAGCAGAGCAGCAGGCGCGCGGGTGAAGTGGTTATCGAACAGCGAGATGGTGGCGATGGCAGGGAGGGCGTCCAGGGGGGGCACAGGGCCTGTTAGTTTGTTGTCCGATAGCATACTGGGAGAGTAGCAAGAAAGGGGGCAACAGGGGCTGTCAAACAGTGAGATGGTGGCGATGGCAGGGGGCGTATCTAGAGGAGGCATGGGGCATGTCAGGTTGTTGTCTGATAGCATACTAGAGGACAAAGAGGGGCAGCAAGCAAGGGAGCAACAAAGGGCACAGGGCCCGTTAGGTTGGAAGTGTGATGTGGTTGTGGAAGAGATGGAGATGGTTGTGAAGGAGATGTTGGGGTGGCAGGGAGCGCGTCTAGAGGAGGCACAGGGCCCGTTAGTTTGGAAGGAGGAGAGGAGGCTGAAGAAGGGAGAGGGGAGGCCGGGGTGGTTAGGTTGGGATGGGTGTAGGGGAAGGGGGGTCATTCACTCAGGCGCCATCAGGTTGCTGATAGGATACTGGAGAGGGAAGAAGTGGGATGGGATTTGCTTCTGAGATGGTTTTATTACATCCAGACTAGTAGACTGCTGGAGGTGAGAGTGGTATGAGAGAGGGGGGGAGGGGAAGGGGGAGGGGAGGGTGGGTTGGAGGTGAGAGTGGCTCCTTTCTTGCAAGATGACTGAGCATGCGAGTGGTGTGCGCCATGCGGGTTGTGGCGTGGAGGAGAGGGCGTTGACTTGACTCACATGGAGTGAAGTAGGGTGAGGTTGGCTGAGGGCAGCCCGGGAGGCAGGTTGCCGTTGAGATGGTTCAATGAAGGAGAGTTTGGTGATGATAACTGAGGGTTGGTGGTATGGCATGGGAATGAGTGAGGGCCTCTCACATGGAGTGAAGTCTCGTGAGGTTGACTGAGGGCAGCCCGGGAGGGAGGTTGCTGCTGAGATGGTTCAGGGCGAGATTGCTGCGAGTTGCACAAGGGTACATGTGAGGGAGTGGAAGGGCCGGGAAGGAAAGGGAAGGGAAGGGAAGGTGGGGACGTGGATGAGTCGACGGGATGCACAGAAGTTCACATGTGTGGGAGATATGATTTGGCAAGCTGGATTGGAACGTAGAGAGTGGTGAGGTGAGAGGAGGGGAGGGGAGGGGAGGGGAGGGGAGGGGAGGGGAGGGGAGGGGAGGGGAGGGGAGGGGAGGGGAGGGGAGGGGAGGGGAGGGGAGGGGAGGGGAGGGGAGGGGAGGGGAGGGGAGGGGAGGGGAGGGGAGGGGAGGGGAGGGGAGGGGAGGGGAGGGGAGGGGAGGGGAGGGGAGGGAAGGACATGGGGGGATGGGATGTCTTGACATGTGCTGGCATGGTGAGACTAGGAGAAGAGCATTCACAGGGTGATCGGACGCTGAGGTCCTGAATCCACTCAGAAGTTGCTGCTGACACACATGATCTATACGCACAGGGTCACCAGGTCTGGGTGTGCGGTGAAGAGAGCAAGGGGCAAGGGGCCTTGGAAGCTGTTGCGACTCAAATCGCTGAGAGGGGCGGACAGGAGAGGGGGCAAGAGGGCGAGGGGGGAAATGGTGGGGGAGGGGGTTTGCGAATGAGCTAAAATTGGTTTTTGCAAATCGAATTACAGAAAGAAGTTGAAGGGAGAGGGGTGACTGTAAGAGGGTGGGACTAAAGAGGAGGATATGGTGGCACGTTTTGAGGCACCTCAAAGCTCGGTGACCAACAAGGGGGTAGGGAGTGGGTGGGATTCGGGAGGGAGGGTGCATGGATGTTGTTGTGACTCAAATTGGTGAGAGGAGAGAGTAGCGGGGAGATATATGGGAGACGAGAGAGGGTAGGGGGACGATGCTGTGATTGGAATCGCTGAGAAAAGTAGACAGAAGAGGAAAACGGAGAGAGGGTAAGAGGCAGAGGGGGACGAATAAATGAGTGTCGAAGAAGCAGGGGTCATAGACTCATAGATATCAAAGACGTCAGGGAGGGAGGGTGATGAAGGTAAGGGGGAATGGACAGTAGAGGTAGAGAGGTCAGGCAATAGCGTACAGGTAGCAGAGTGATGGGAGGCCTGTCAAGGCGGGCAGTGGCTGGGGAGGCATGGAGCAGTTGTGCATTGACCTGCGTGGGTGCATGGAGAGCAGTGGGATGGAGAACGGTGGGATGGAGAACGGTGGGATGGAGAAGGGTGGGATAAAAGAGGGGTGGGACAAGGGGAAAGCAAATATTGAGGCGCCTCAAAGAGCAATTGTGCAGGGATGTGCATGTGTGCATGAAGAGTGTGGGGTGGGGGGTGTTTTGAATGCAAGGTGCGGAAGGTATGCACCTTGCATCCGAAACACCCCCCACCACTCCCATAGGACGCTCATATAGGACTTGCAGTGCCATGCCAGGTGGGTGATTGAGGAGGACACATAGCACACAGTGACTGAAGCAGCACTCACAGGTCTTGCAGCGCTGGGAGGAAGAACTGGGACACGTGGTGCTCAGTGATTCGAGAACTCACAGGTCTTGCAGCGCTGGGAGGTTGAGCGAAGGCGGAAGCCGACCCTGAATGGTGTTGTTGCTCAGATGGCTGCCACGTGGCACACAGTGATTGGAGTACAAGAGGGACAGGAAGGGAAGGACACACAATCACATCAATTCTTCCTGATAAATCTGAACAGGGCCACTACGATTCGCAATCAGAGGAAGCAAGGACTCACTTCACACGGCAATAGATTTTTTAGGCAATAATATTTCTAGGCGCCTCAAAACTAGTCAAAACGTCACATGACAAAGGCTTGGAAGCCGTCCCAGCCCTCAGAAACATGTGACGTATTTCTGACTGAGCACCACAAAAGAAGACGCCTCAAAGACTGCTGGCCCTCACATGATCTGAAGGCTGGTAGAGCCACTGAGCCCGCGGGAAAGGTCTGGTTGGGATGATTGTTGTTTCCCAGGATTTTTTTTTTTAGGCGGCTCAGAATTCAATGCCTCAAAGATTGTTAGTTTGAAAAACAGATGCCTCACATGATCTGCAGGCTCGTGGAGCCACTGAGCCCTGCTGGAAAGGTCTGGTTGAGGCGGTTGTTGTCCACCAGGCTGGTGGGTTGGGGGTGGGAGGGGGGGCAGAGGGGAAGAGGAAAGGAGGGGGTGACTTTTGAGTCGAATCAAAGGCTGGTGGAGCCACTGAGGCCCGCTGGAAAGGTCTGGTTGAGGCGGTTGTTGTCCACCGCTAGGCTGGTGGGTGGGAGGGGGGGAGAGGGGGATGAGAGGAAGCGAGGAAGTGACTTTTGAGATTACTCAAAAGGCTGGCGTGCGTGCGTGCATGTGCGTGTGTGTGAGTGTGACCATGTTAGCTGGAAACGCAGCCAAAACTGAGACGGCTTACAGGTGGATGAGGTTCGGAAGGCGTCCCAGTTGCCCTGGGAGATATGATAGCTGGTTGCGACTCAGGTGACTGGTGGGAGGCGGGGGGTGAAAGGGGACAGGGGGGCAAAGAAAGGAGAGGGCAGCAAGAAAGCGGCAAAGGCAGAAAGAGAATCAGGGGAAGCCTTGGAAGGCGTCCCAGTTGCCCTGGGAGATAAGATAGCAGGTCGCAACTGAGGTGCCTCGTGGGGAAAAAGGCAGATTCAGAGCAGGCGACAGGGGCAAGGGAGGTGGGTGGGAAGGCTGAGGGGAGTCAGGTTGAGTTGTGTAAGGCGTCCCAGTCGCCCTGGGAGATATTTAGCTGGTTGCGACTCAGGTGACTGGTGGTTCGAATCCTTCTCATTCTCTGCAGGAGGCTACACATGCTGACATGCTCCTTCTCAGATTAGTCATCACTGGTCGGTCAAGACGAGCTTGCTGCTTTCTACCCGTTTCTCAGTTTGAGAGCATGCTGGCACGTTCCTAGTTGTCAGACGGCGCTTGACACGTTTGGCGACAAGCAACCAAAGGGAGAGGGTGCTAGGCAAGGGGCACGCACAGGTGACCGATGCTGGTACACGTGTCGAATCCCGGTTGGACGGGCACAGGCCCTGAGATGTTGTTGTCCGTAATGTCAAAGAAATAGAGGTTTGTTAGATTCGCCACCTGCAGGAGGGGAGGGGGGGGGGGAAGGGAGAGGAGAAGGGGAGGAGGGAAGGGGGAAGGAGGAGAGGAGGGAAGCAAATGAGAGCAGAAGTAAATGGAAACTTCAGTTGAGTATGTTTGAGTGTGATGTCAACCAACCAGAAGTCCGTTAGGTTTGCCACCTGCAGCGCGGTTCAGTGTGGTGAAGTACGGTGTGATGGGGTATTCACTTGTCTGGAAATGCTCCCAGAGAGTTGATTGCTGTTGACAGCAAAGAAGAGCTTTCTCAGGAAGTCGGTGATAGTAGTGGAGATGGGTGAGGTTCAGTGCGGTGCAGTGAGGTACTCACCTGTTCAGGAATGCTCCTAGAGAGTTGACTGTTGTTGAGAGCAAAGAAGTGGAGCTTTTCCAAAAGGCCAACGGCTGCAGGAATGGTAATATGCACGATTTAGTGTTGTGAACTATGCTGCAATGAGGTACACACCTGTCTAGGGATGCTCCCAGAGAGCTGGTTGCTGTTGACAGCAAAGAAATTGAGCTTGCTTAAAAGGCCGATGGTTGCAGGGATGGGGGTAGTGCAGTGCATGCGGTGCAGAGCGGTGAAGTACGGTACGTACCTGTCTGGGAATGGTGCCGGATAGCTGGTTGCTGTTGACAGCAAAGAAGTTGAGCTTTCTCAAGAGGCCAATGGTTGCAGGGATGGACCCCGACAGATTGCATCCGTGCATGTCCCTGATGGAATGCAATTCAGTGCGGTGGGGTGAGGTGGAGAGGGATAAAAGAGGATATAAAAATGGGATAGAGGAATCGAGGTCGGTGTCCCTGGTGAGTTCGACCCAGTGCGTTGAAGTGCGGTGAAGTGCAGTAGGGAATGTGGTTGAGAGCAGGAAACAGTGGTCATAACAGTGTAAAGGAGAGGCACAAAAGGGAATGACTCGTTACAGGGTAGAACAACTCACAGCATGGAGAGGTCCGAAAGCGAGCTGATGGTGCTGTATATGCTGCCTGTGAGGGCTGGGTTGAGCGATATGTCCCTGGAAAGGGGGGGAGAGGGAAGAGGGGGAGAAGGAGAGAGGCCAGAAAGAGAGCCTCAGAGGTCAGAAAGGGCGCTGATGGTGCTGTAAATGCTGACTGTGAGGGCTGGGTTGAGAGATATGTCCCTGGAAAAGGGGGGAGAGGAGCAAGGGTAAACGCAGTGTGGGGAGAGAGGTTGGAGAGGGCGCTGATGGTGCTGTAAATGCTGACTGTGAGGGCTGGGTTGAGAGATATGTCCCTGGGAGGGAAGGGGAGGGAGGGTAAAGGGGATGTGGGGAAAGAGGTTGGAGGGGGAAAAGGGCGAGGGGACGTGTAGGGAGCCTCAGCAGCCGGAAAGGGAGTTAAAATTGCTGCCTGTGAGGGCTGGGTTGCAACGTCCCATGCAGTAAGCTTGTCTTGAGACATCCTATAACAGACTCAAGATGACTGAAGGATAGTTTTACTGAATAAGGTATGTGTTACGGCTCTTCTGAGCAACTAGTAACGGGTCACGAGCTGTGCCTAGAAGTCCGTCAACAGGAGTGTAAACGAGGCAATCTATAAGGCGTACAGGCTTGTGAGCGCTGTTAGCTCGAAGAGAGCTGGTGGAAGCTGCCCGGAAAGTCCCAGCCCTTGCAGTGTTCTGCCAACACAAATGGTGCGGGAAGAGATTCGGGGGAGTGAGTGAGAGAGTGTGAGAAGGAAGAGCGAAGCGGAACGAGAGGCGTTTAAGGGAAGGAGGGTGAGACAGGGGGGAGGTGTGGGACGGAAGGGGGACGCGGAAGGGTAGGTGGGGAGGAGAAAGAGATGTAAACGCTCAGAGTAATGGAACTACATGATTGCCTCAGCAGCAGCAGCAGCAGCAGCACAGGGGTCGTCTTCACTCACAAACACTCACAGCGATGTAACCACTCACAAGAAAAAACCACTCACAGCGATGTAACCACATGGCTCCCCGAGCCGTCACTCTCACAGGTGACCCCCGGCCAGCCCTTGCTGCTGGCACCCGCAGAAGCAGCGCAGGGATCGCTTCCGGACCAGGCACTGAAAAATGAGTTGGAGGAGGCGAGGGACGATGCTATGGTGTGAAGAGCGGCCACTGCGAGGGGGCCGCGGGGGGATGAGGGGGAGAGGGGAACGCAGGGAAGAAGCAATGGCGCCAAGAACTTCCGCTTTGGTTCTTGGCGATGGCGACGGCGATGACGCAGCGAGTTGATTGCGATTTGATTGTTTTGATACGCCTCAGAAATTCATAGCGTGACCGCTCATTGATTGCGAAAAAGAACGGGCTTTGCCACCGGCCCGGGCACGCAGTGTGGAACGGGCGACGCGCACCGGCGCGAGGGTGGAAGGGAGGCGATGCAAGGCACGTGACGGGAATGGTCGCTCTGCCTAGCCCGGCATATCCTCGCAGACGACGATTGTGCGACCTTAGCGACATTCGAGGACGACTATTTTAGACTGAATAGTATGCTCATGCGAGGCTGTGAGATTCTTGGTCAAGAATACCCGACTATCATGCAAAGAACGCCATGGATTTCATATTGTAGTTTGTCGCTATCCCCGTTAAAAGCGCGAAGAGGTTTCACCTTGAGCTGGGTTCGTCGCAGCTTTAACGGTCTCGCGAGTCCAGAGACTGAAAATAGTCGCGGCCAGTAGAACGAATTGAGCGGAACAGATTATGTTGCGTCGTCTTCGGGGAGATTTTCGATTCGCGAGCGACGCGACGCGGTCCATGATAATGATGTTCTTGACGGATTATGATTTGTCGATATATCGGAAAATCTCGCGGCAAATGCAGACTTCGTGGTATCTCGGGTATTTCGTGACGCGTACGGATGAAGATCACGAAGGTGCTCCAGCTAGAAAGACGACGTATAGGCGGCAACCATAGCAACTTTGAGAGTTCCGACGAGGAAGAAGCGCTATGTACGAGTGCGATGGCAATGCGGAATGCGCTATTTACATTGTTAGATTCCTTTGTGATGCTACTTTCCTAGCGACGCGGGAAGTACACAAAACACTGACTGACTCAGACGCGCAAAAGCTGGGACATGGGACCACTCTGCTTGATATCGCCCAAGTCGGCCCAGAATCACTGGAACGAAAAAATATGACTCTGTAAGTAACGACCCTCCTAGAAAAAAATACTTCAGCTCGAGCAAGGGTGAAGTTATCTTTAGCTTACCAAGCGGCTCGCCCACTAAGGCAGGCTGGAACTATCAGCTCCCCCCAGATAGTGTGATCTGAAGCTGAAAAACGAGGGCGTTCGATGCGCCTGTAAGGGTAGCAGTTTTATGCGGTTAAGTGTTATAATATAGAGTCTGAAAACGTTTCTAAACGGTTAAGTGAGGTTCTGAGCAAAATGACTTGCGGTGCCAACTCGCAAACCGCCAACGGCTCGAGGCCAACGTCTTTTTCCTGAATCATGCTTGGTTCGTCAACTCCCTGTTTTTGGTTCGGATTCCGTCGGGTGTCAACCAAAGCCAAGGCACGGTGATGACACCCCGGGTTCTTTCCAAACCAAACCAGACTTCCACTGATAGTCTCGTTCGGAAACCTCATCGTCTCTTCCAAACCAGAATCCAAACGCCTTCAGCCATCGATGGGGGGCTCGAGTCAGGTAGTGAAGTCCCTAGGAAATCCCGAACGTACAAAAGTGGTATTGACTCGAGAGATCGCGGCATTTCGAACCTTCACTTCTGGTGCGGACACATCACGCCGAAGCGAATGCCGAAATTTGGTCTCAACGCACTCGTGCCATCATTTCGGTATGGGTTCACCGCAGGCGCAACATCCGACACTCACCCTGCGCAAATCCCCTCACCCTCACCACCACAAAGCACACACACACCCGCCACACACAACGTTTTTCCGCACACATCTGTATTTTCGCCAGCTAGCCGATCTGCTTAGCCAGGCAAATTGACAAGGGGTTGGTGTGACACGTCACGCACGCGTCGCGGCTTCGGTTCACTCCGAAGAAAAACGTTGAAAAGTTGCCCAATTTGCAGCAGCAAAGCAACCACAGATCTTGCGGGCAAGTTCTCTTGCGCATTCTACGGGTAGCGTAAAATTTCCAGACACGCACCGACGGACAACAACCACGCCACGACAGGATGCACCTGCAAGTAACAAAACCCTCCTCCACCCCCTCACGTGCCCTGACCTGACGGTTCGAGAAACAAAACGTTTTTCGTCCAACCAGAGAAACCTGTGGCGTGCTGCACAGTCAACTGTTCATGATTGAGGCAACCGCTGCTGCTGGAGGGCTTCCGCTGCCCGCGGACGGCGCCAGATTTCCTCGCCAGAAGGCAACAAGCAGCGCCGCTCACGGCATTGCTGCAGGGTCACCTGAGCCCAGACTCCCATATGCGGAATTATAGTGTAACTTTCCGATAGCATAATGACCAATAATCAACAAAGTGTTATAAATGCTAACTCCGAAATTGATAACTCCAGCAGTTCAGTAACCGTCATTTGTCGTTTGAGTTCAATGAGCAGCTTCTTGCAAGACATCCGCATACTGCAAAAAATGGATGGAATGAGGAAAGTAAGTAGGTGCTCAATGGTTAGACAGAGACTATAAACAGGTTAAAATGCACGAAGAAATCATAGTGAAGTTTACCTGGAACGCATCTGTTTGCAATTCAAACTGCATCAAATCTAATGCGACGTCGCAGCTCTCCGCTACAATCGGGTCAGGATCCTTCTGGAACTTTCTTAGAAGCTGCTGTGTCAATGGGTCTGCAATGCACATAAGAAATCACAGCAAAACAAACATAAACACACACACAACCCCCTAAAATTCGGAATTCCTGGTCTGGATAACCGTAACACAGGAAGCAAGTGTTTCCGTACCTGCAACCGAGCCTAGGGCCACAGCAGCTTCGTGCCGAACCATGGCGTGGCATGAAGTGTCTTCTAGCGCCCTAACAAGCGCCTGGGCGGCAGTTTTGTTCTGTAGCTGGCCCAAGACATAGGCTATCTGATGAACAGTGGTGGAGGGGAACATTGGTGGAGGGGGGAAGGGCAAACGGGTTGGAAGAGGGGAAGAGGAGGGTGGGTCCCCTTCACTGCAATGAATCTCAACCATCGAGTTGCACATCCCACTGCAGCACATCCCACCGCACCACAGCACAACGTGTCTCACCTTCCTTGTGCCGCAGCAGAGCACTGGTGCAGGTCGCAACCACAATGCTGTTGCTGTACGGGGCACACCACACCCAGCCACATTCAACCCCACACCACACCGCTCCATGCCTCACCACACACACCACACGGCACCATGCCTCACCTCGTGTCGCAGCAGGGCACTGGAGCAGGTCTCTAGAGCCTCAACAGAAAACCACAATGCTGCTACTGCGCGGGGTAATATACACCAAGACACATACGACCGTACAGTGCACCACAGTATGCCTCACCTCATGCCGCAGCAGGGCACTGGAGCAGGTCTCTAGAGCCTCAACGATCGCACTCACTGCCGCATTCGCACCCCCACCATCACCACTGTTACCACCAACAGCATCGGCAGCACCAACAGCATCAGCACTAGCAGCAGCAGCGCCGCCATTGCTGGTGGCGGCTGCTTTGTCCCTCAGAGCGAAGAGAGCGCCATAACGATCGTACATGTCTGCGTCTTCTTGCAGAAGAAGCTTCCTGGAAACACACAGCATGCGGGAATAGAAGGGCTGGGCCTATCAGCATTAGCACCAGCAAGGGCTGGGCCTATCAGCATTAGCACCAGCAAGGGCTTCGCCTATCAGCATTAGCACCAGCAAGGGCTGGGCCTATCAGCATTAGCACCAGCAAGGGCTTGGCCTATCAGCATTAGCACCAGCAAGGGCTGGGCCTATCAGCATTAGCACCAGCAAGGGCTGGGCCTATCAGCATTAGCACCAGCATCAGCCCGAGCAGCGGAGAGGACATGCTGCTTGGGCGTAAGCATGAGCATCCACGGGTCTTCAGCTTCATATATATACCTGAGTTCCTCAGCAGGATCAACCTGAGCATGCGCACGACATATATCTATCTACTGTTTCCAGCCTTGCACTATTGCCATACATATATCAGGTTGCGCACAGCGTGACATATCCATATGTTACCTGAGTTCTTGGGTGCACTCCCAAGTACCTGAGTTCTTCTGTGCTCGCGTTCTTGGGTGCACTCCCAGCAGGATCTACAGACATGAACCGCTTCCCCTCTCCTTCCCCTTGCCCCTCACCCTCATTCTCTCCCTTCCCCTTCTCCCCATTCCCCTTCTCCTCCTCTGCTCCCCCCTCCCCCTGCCTCTCCCCCTTTTCTGCCGCAGCTAGTGTGTCCTGTAGCCGCCGAACCGCCAGCTGGCACGTCTCCCGAACCTCGGGCGCAGGGTCGGCGAGATAGGTTTGGAGGAGAGGGAGGGAGGAGGCTTCACCAATGGCGCCCAGAGCCTCTGCTGCCTGCAAACATGGGGAGAACAATACAGTACAGCGCGGTGCAGAACGGTGAGTACGAGTTTACAGTCGGTTAACAAATCCCCCAAATCGCGGGGATATGGAGACATATCCAATGGAGGAAGAAGATGCTTTTTTCCGAGCCCTAAAGAGAGGACGTCTTTCCTAATGCCCTAGGAATAGCAGCTCCTATCCTAAGACCTAAAGCCCCTGCTGTAGGCCGCATAGGGAGTATGGGGAGGAATTGAGAAGGGGGGGAAGCGGGGGGAGGGCGGATGAGGAACTGAAAATGGGGAGAAGAGGGAGTAGGGTGGTTGAGGGATGTTAAGTGCCGCTGTGACCTTGATAGCTCAAGGGCAACTTTTGAGGAGCCTCGATAGGAGGGAGGGTGAGGAATGCAAAGGGGCAAGCGCCTTTGATCTATACAAGGAAGAACGCATGGTCAGAAATTCCTTTGAAATTTCACCCCTGCATGGGGAACCTTATCTCACCCCTCCAAGGGGAACCTTATCTCACCCCTCAACCAGTGACACTCTGTGTTTCATCTCACCCGTAACACACTAACCTAGTCCTCACCTCGTGTCAAACAATGGGGTGGTATGACGAGACTTAAGCCACCCGGGTCTTTATATTATTCTTATTATGAGACAAGCTCCATTCTCACCCCATGGCACACCAAGTTCTCACCTCGTGTCTAACAATGGGGTGGTACGACGAGTCTTTTAGCACCCTAGTAAGTGCGGGCACCGAGAAAACATCGCCCATCTGCCCGAGAGCAAACGCTGCCTCGTGGGCCAATAGCACCGACTTGTCCTCCATGCCTGGGCAGGTGAAGAAAAAAATACCAGGCAGGGGCAGGAAAAAATCAAGGCCCATTTTCAAAACCCGCTTTAAATGACAGGCATCATCGAATCAGCAACAAGTGGAATGAATGTAAACACCATAACCTCAAAGCCCGTCCGAAACCCTAGACCCGGTAGCCCATAAACCCCGAACCGCCAATATCTAGACCCGGCCATCGGGCTCTCGTGATTATTATCGGAGTTCCCGGGGACAATTCGCTAACAAATGTGCGGGTATCCTGCACTGACGTTGGTCCGGACACAACGGTACAGTGCGGTACAGTTTGGTGGAGTTCGGTGCAGTGCATTTCGTGCAACCACCAGTACACAACACCTGGTAACGTGATACGCGGAATTTCCGATAGAGTACTAATAGTACGCGGCATCCCCGCTGGTGGCATATTCGCCTACCGTCTATAAGCGCCTGTTGCGGAGCTTGGCCCTTGAGGTTGCGCAAAGAGAAGAGCGCGCGGATGCGCTGCTCGATGGGCAGCGCGCGGTCGAGCAGCCGTTGGCGCAGCTCCGCCACGACTTCCCGCGCATCCGCGCTAGAAGCTGGTTCGTTATCAACAGCCATTCGCTCGCAGGAGGATACACGGATCGAGCTGGGAAAGCTGGAAGAATGATCGGCTACGGCACTTGATCGTGTTCGAAGCTATGACCAGAAACAAAACAAGGGAAAAATTCTCATGCTAAAGCCAGGCCTCGTTTCCTCATACGAAGAAAAATGTCAAGACAGAGGTAGTGGCTGCTCAAATCCCCAGAAAAATGTCCAGACAGACACCTACCTCGACAGCGCAACAGCGTAGTCTGGTGGCGTTGGTTCACCATACACAGCAGACGTTGGGTCGCTTCAACACGGTCTGGTTCGGTTCGGTTCTTACTGGTTAAGACGGTTCTGGCTGTGTTTTCGCAGGTGGTGGGCAGGGCAGTCAATTGGTGAAGTCTGTTGTCCGCCGCGCGGCTGGTGTCGCTGTGGCGAGGGGAAGCGGTTTTCGCGGAAATTGTTACAAGTGGGGGAAAAAGAACACTCCTGAAATGTCAGAGCTGCTGTAACATAGAGTTGAAACTACAGTTCATGAATCGCAAAAATATCCACGGCCAACCAGCAGTCAATAAGAGATTGAGGGTGATTTCCTTGATAATAGAGGTCCTGGGTTAATCCTTCATCGCAAAAACATCTGCATGTTATCAGATTCCACAGAAATCAGTTTTGTATAGCTTGTGGTGTACACAATGATAAGCACACACTTCGGTACACCACGGAGGTGTGCATGAAGGGGCCAGAAGATGGAGGAGAAGAGTTAAAGGGTTGGGGCCCGTCCTTGGGTGATTTTAAGAACTCCTTTGGAGTTTCCAGCGGCACAAGAGGAAGAAACAGACGTGGATCCAGCGGTAGAAGGGGCACCAGACTCAGCAGCAGGGGCAGCAGCAGAAAGGGGCTCAGGAAGGTGCTGTTGGGAACTGGTTTTACGAGCTGCTGGGTGGAGGAGCAGACGAATCACTAGGAGTGGGTGGGGCAGCAGCAGCAGAATCAGCAGCAGCAGGGGAAGCAGCAGCAGGAGCCCAGTGTCTCCTGAGCGAGGAGAGCACCCAGGGCGCCTGGGGCTCAGAGGGAGGGGGTGGGACCGATGGGGGCCGGCTGCGGCGAAGCTCATCGGGACGGTCAATGTACCTGGGAGGGATTGGACGGATGAGGGACACAGAGGGACAAGTATTAGAAAGGGGGCCAGTGTTTCCTAAGAGCGCAGAGCACCCAAGAGCCTGGGGCTCGGAGGGGGGCCGATGCGGGTCGGATGCAGCGAAGCTCATCGGGTCGATGTACCTGGGGTTTTAACGAGAGAGAGAGAGAGAGAGAGAGAGAGAGAGAGAGAGAGAGAGAGAGAGAGAGAGAGAGAGAGAGAGAGAGAGAGGAACCTTAGCCCTCTGCCCTCGGCCTTCTCCCTCTGCCCTCTGCCCTCCCGGCCTATTTAAGGCCTGCTCTGGCCAGCTTCTCCTCATTATTTTTGCGTGGGTTCATTTTCGGCGCTCGAGAGCGAGAGAGAGAGAGAGAGAGAGAGAGAGAGAGAGAGAGAGAGAGAGAGAGAGAGAGAGAGAGAGAGAGAGAGAGAGAGAGAGAGAGAGAGAGAGAGAGAGAGAGAGAGAGAGAACCTTAGCCCTCTGCCCTCGGCCTTCTCCCTCTGCCCTCTGCCCTCCCGGCCTATTTAAGGCCTGCTCTGGCCAGCTTCTCCTCATTATTTTTGCGTGGGTTCATTTTCGGCGCTCGAGAGCGAGAGAGAGAGAGAGAGAGAGGAACCTTAGCCCTCTGCCCTCGGCCTTCTCCCTCTGCCCTCTGCCCTCCCGGCCTATTTAAGGCCTGCTCTGGCCAGCTTCTCCTCATTATTTTGGCGTGGGTTCATTTTCGGCGCTCGAGAGCGAGAGAGAGAGAGAGAGCAACCTTAGCCCTCTGCCCTCGGCCTTCTCCCTCTGCCCTCTGCCCTCCCGGCCTATGTAAGGCCTGCTCTGGCCAGCTTCTCCTCATTATTTTGGCGTGGGTTCATTTCCGCCGCTCGCGAGCGCGGCCTTCGGCCGCGCGTTTGGGGTGGCAAGTCAACAATCAACGGGACAACTTATAGGGGGAGCATACGCAGGGGTACACGCAAGGGAGAAGCCCTACGGCAAAGAGCGGCGGAGATGCAATTCTACAAGAGGCGGAGGCCTACATCGTGTACGGCTCCGCCCCCTCTACCTCGAGCATGGAGCGCATGCACGCCGAAAGTGACAGAAGGAGGTGCGCCGACGACTGAAGCGTGTCCGCCGGAGTCCCGACTCGAGCAACCCCTACAAGATCCCCCACGTGGCGGGGGAAAGTACGGGCTAAGGGCGCTACCCCGGCGGGCGCTTCCGACACGGGTGCCAACGGCGACTCGAGCGATTCTGCCAAAGACACGCAGGATCCTCGGGATCCTGGACCGTAACTGCTCGGAAAGCTCCGCGTGGCCCCACACACCGCCAGCTGCAGATTCGCCACCACCTCGCACGCCTCCACCAAATTCAGAAGACGACACATGGTCAGCATGGGGTCTCTCCCCGCGGGAATGGGGGGAGGTGCAGTCGGTGCTTCGCGCGGAAACGCCGTCGGCCAGCCAGGAGTCCGGCCAACAGAGAAGCGCGGCACGGAGAAGCCCTGGACTGGACGGGGGGCGCGAAACGGAGCCCGCCCCTCCCGCGCAGGCAGATACTCGCGCAGCGTCGGCGCGCGTAGAGGAGCCGCCTGGGCACAACTCGGGTCGAGGGGAGGGCCGTTGGTCACCGCGATGTGTACGTGCGTGTCCTCCCCACTTGCCCGCGCCTGCCGCACCACTTGCGCGAACGCATTCGCGGCTTGATCTAGGGCTGGATCCAGCCCGCGCCCACTACCACCGCGCCCACCGCCATTCCGCCGACCACGTCGACCGCCAGAACCAGCCGAGCGCGGACGCGGAGGGGACTGCTCGCGGCGACCCGAATCCCAGCGACGCCCGGGCGACCCCCTCCCCCGCGTCGCCGGAGATCGCCGCGGAGACCGTTGCGCGGGGGATCGCGCTCGGGGTGAGCGCTGGCCTGCCCGACCGACCATGACGCTCAGGAGATCGGCAGCGGGGAGACTGCGGCCGCGATTCCAGGGGCTCAGGGGAGCGCCGATGGGGAGAATGTTGCCGCGGTGGCTGACGCGGTGGAGAGCGCCCTTGCTCCTGACGAGGCGCACCAGCAGGGCGGTTGGACCCCACACGGGCAAGGGCCCACAAATACTCCGGTGAGGGGGGCTGAGGGACGCCACGAAGTGGAAGAGACAGGCCGCGCTCGAGGCGGCGAACGGGCTCACTTGCAGAGGGGCGCGCGGAGGGTCGCGGACGAGACGCGGGCGGCTCCAGCACCTGCCCCTGCTGAGCGCTCTCCGCTGTACCTTCCAGCGCAGGATCTTGACCCCGGGATGGGTCCATCACGGCCGACGCCAGCGCACCGTCAAAGGAGGGGAGGCGCTGACGCTGCGCCAACCGCGAGGCGTTCGGGAGCAGCAAGAGAAAGAGAAACGCGCGGTTTTCGGGTGGGACAAGGCAGCAACCGCCGCGGACACGGCGCCTCGACGCGGAGAAGGGGCGCGAGCGGCTTCGCGCGAGCAGCACAGCGGGTCCTGCGGCAGAGAGCTAGGGAGGGAGGAGAAGCACTTGGTGTCGAATCTGAAAATGAATCTGGGGGTGACCCTGACTGAGAGGGAAGTTCGAATCCCTCAACAGAGGAGGAAATGGTGGAAGAGACTGACCCACCTGGGGGTCGAACCGCATCCACAATTCGACAACCCCAAAATCGGACCGCGAGGGGAAATCGAGCCGCTCCCAACACCAGGGTTACCACATCGCCTGCCAATAACCCAGCCCCAGAGCCCGCCACCCCTGTCCCAATCATCAGCGCAGACGATTTGGCGACGCGTCAGGACCTTTTTGACGACGTCGCCAACTGGGACCTCTGCCCGCTGCGCGACAGCAGGCAACCCCCCCTCGCCCGTCACCCACCCCGCCCACTTCGCGAATCCTTCGCAATATGCCTGCTGACTCCACTGCTGCACCTGGCGAAAAACCCAGACTCCACAGCGGGCTGGAAGCTGCTGATGTTTCTCCCGCGCATTCTGTTGCGCACCTCGTCAGCACGCTCCCCCGACTGGAAAACCATGGGCGCGAGGCTGACGCGATTCCGCCAAGGCCTGTGGCGCAACCTGTACGACGAGGCAGCAGGCGCGGTTACCAGCGACCCCCAACCACGCCACGTACCTGATGACACTGGCAAGCTCTCGCGTGCCGAAGGCTTGGCTAAGAGAGGGAACTTGGCGAAATCTCTGCAGACCCTGACTGCCACGCCGGTCTGCACGCCGAGCGCTGAAGTTCTCAGCGCACTCACAGCCAGACATCCAGACGCCACCACGGCCATCCCTCCCTGGGTGCACGACTTCGCCCCAAAGAGCGTCCCTTCCATCGCTGCTAGGGATTTCAGACGGCTGCTCGCGAAATGCCCCAACGGAGTGGGGGCGGGGCCATCTGGCACCGCCTTTGAGCACCTTAGAGACGCGGCCCTGGGGAACGGAGACGTCTTCGTGCAGCTGCATGCTCTTACCAACACGGCGCTCGCTGGAAAACTAAAGGCGGACGTGGCGGACCTCCTAACAGCGTCACGCCTCCTTGCCTTCTCGAAGCCGCAGGGTGGTACGCGGCCGATTGCCGTAGGCGAATGCCTGCTCCGCCTCGTGGCCAAGGCGGCCCTTTTTCTCGCCGCTCCAGCGGCGCGCGAGCACTTCACCCCGCTTCAGTTTGGAGTAGCAATCGCGGGAGGAATAGAGGCGGCAATTCACACCGCACGCACCTACCTGGAGGAGTTCCCCGGAGCGACGGCGCTCCAAATAGATCTAGCCAATGCCTTCAATGCTGTAGAACGCGCAGCAGCGTTCGAGGGCCTGAGAGGCACCGAACTCAAAGTCCTGGTGCCCCTCGTACGCTTCTCTTACGGCCACTCATCGGCACTCTACCTCGACCATGACTTCGCAGCAGAGCCACTCAAGAGCGCACG